TTTATCTTTTGGTACAGATCTGGTTTGATTATGGTTCAAATAGGATCCTTGAATATTGTATTCTAAATCTAGGGAATATGATTCCCAGTTGGGAGAAGGTAGGAAATTTTTGAAATTCGCCCCACCCATTCCGCAACCTTTATGGCGTCCATTAGATGGATCCTACCATTCTTTCAGTGTACTCATGCAGCCCAATACCCTAACAAAAGCATTCATCTTTTGCTACATAAAAATGCCCTCTTCATAGCTGATTTGGTAAGACATCTGCCAATACTGTACCCATTGCCCTTCAGATCCATCTAATTAACCACTACCGAAAATGATTCAAAAATTCCTTAATTTCATTGAGATAATGAAGTATTTATCTTGATTCTAGAACAATATTGTACTAATTTGCAGTTAATTTCAAATCTACAATAATCCTCTAGTTCCTCGTTTCGCTAATCTATCATTCATTCTAGCAGTATTAATCAGTATTAATGATAGACCCACCAGAATTTTGACCTTCCCCTCTATCCTTTACACCTATTTTTCATGCAAGCACTATTTTTTATTGATATTTTTCATGCATGCACAATTATTTGTTCAAAAAAGAAAATCCGTGTAACAGCCTTAATTTCTTCTTTATTTACACCTTCTAATGAATCCAATTTATCCTACTAAATTTCAGATCATTTTCTCTTTAAATACTCAAGGCATTTTAGCTATCATGTTTATATTTGGTCAGACCCATGGCAACCTTTTCTTGAACCATTTTCCCAGATATACTTTCCTTGATTTTTGTCAACATTTAAAATTCACATTCTAGCCTCTTTTCTCTTCTTTTTCTTTAAGCAGCACTGTCCAGCCTGTGTTATTTGCTGATTTTATGGCATTCACAATCAGATCACTTAAGACTTATTTGTCCATCACTAAAGACATTCATATAAAAATAAGAAGCTTATTAACACTTGTAACCAAGGCTTTACAAGACAAGTAAATTATGGAGGAATGGACATTTGGAGCTCAAACCCAACACTTATTAGTAAACAAGAAACATTACAGAAGACTTGGTGCTTGATGAAGGTCTATCATGGACTGGTCCAAGTGAAGGGGGTCTTATTGGCTTGCATTGAAACACATGGTTTCATTGTACTGAATTCGGCTCTCGGTCTTCTGCTTTAGACCTTGGACTTGTTGTGCACCATAGAAGGCAATTTGGCCCTGTGTCTCCGCAAGCTCACGTTGAGTGATGATTATTTGTTGATGTAATTGAGATATAATTGCAACAAACCCATAAACTGGGTCTCGGACCCTTGAGCCTGCCTCAAAGAACATACAATCAGCTGCCACAGCACGTTGATGGACTGGTAGTTGCTGCTCCAACCAAAGAAGAAACAAATGCCATCTATCAAAATTGATGAAATAAGCATTTCTATAAAAGATTTCAAAATGGGTTTGTAACTCTATCGAAACATTAGGTCACTATGATGAAGAGAGCATCAACTCTGAAAATGTAAACTAGTTCTTTTAAGGATCCAATTCACCTCCAATAAGTATTGGAATTGTGACTAACTAGTTAACTACAATGATAGGGACGCATTATTTCAAAATCAAATATATAGATCAAAAAAAATATTTATAAAACCATCAAAAACGAGAATATTTTCCTCTTAATCTTATATTTCCCACTAAATATATAAAAAAAAAAGAAAAATAAATCAAAAACCATTAACTCATTAATGGTTAAATATCTGCTTACCTGTAGTATCTTAGTAATGTTACTAGCTCCAAAGATTTTGTGAACACAAGCAAATCTTTCTGGATTGGTTGAAGGGAAATAAGAGGCGAGAATGCAATCATGTGAGCACCTCCTACGAAGATATTTGCAAGCTGCACAACGAGTAGAATTGGCCATTTTTAGATTCGGTAGAATCTTCAGTATATCTAAATTTTTTTATTTTCTTCCTCTTTTTATTTTTTTATATTAAGATTTGAGATTTTGAAATTGAAAAGCCTATAACGGCTACATTTAAAAACGTTTACTACAAAGGAAAAAAAAAAAAGCAAGTCTCGACTTACCTCTTCGAGACGGAAAACACGTTGAGAGAGAGAAACAGCTACATTAAAAACGTTTACTACAAACAAAAAAATCGAAAGAGAGGAAGGAAGAGTTCCAGATACATTGGCGGTGAACCAAGCGGCAGGGCGACTGGGCGAGCGCACTGGATCATCACTTGGTTAAGTAGTTTTTGGAAGGAGGAAACAGAGGACCGAAAAAATCGAGGGATGTCAACCGGTCGGGTCTGAGCCGAGTACCAATCTCGAACAGATTATTAATCGAACCAAAAATTCAAAATCATAAACCCATAACCGTCGTGGTTAATAATGGGGTCCATTTAGACCCGATAGACCCAATTATGCTGAAAATAACTTAAATTTAAAATTTTGATAAATTAGCATTAATAAAAATGATAACAAAATACTGAATTATTAATATGTTAATACATTAAATATTTTTAACTAATATTATCTAGGGGTGAGCAAAAAGAAATCGAAAAACCAAATCAAACTGATCGGTCGGTTCGGTGTTTTTAAAAAACCAAAGGTATCGGTTCAGTTTCGGTTAACCAATATAGAAAATTGGCAGTTAACTGAATCAACCGGTATACATATATTTCTATATATTTTATATATATTTATGTATATTATATATATTTTATATTTTATATATTATATATATTATAAATTAATAAATATGTATTAAATATAAATATATATATTTATATTTACAATATATGATATATTATTTATTATTTAAAATATAATATTTTATATATTTATAATTTTTTATTATATTTATATATATTTTTATAATATATATTGTAAAAAAAATTGAAAACCGACAAACCGAAGTGATGGTTAACCGATAGGCTTCGATTTGGTTTCGATTATCGGTTTTCCAAAAACCGGTAGTACCGGCTCCAAAAACCGTGAGAACCCCTAATATTATCAAATTTACCATTTTAAACTTACAATATGATAAAAAGTATAACAAATAAAAATATAATATATATTTAATGAAATAATTGATTCCAAGTATGAATTGGTTCGAGATAAACAAGAACTAGAACATACCCAATTGTTAATTGAGACAAAATTATGGAACCAAAACCATTATAGTCGGTTCGAACCAACTGACGTGTTCACTCTTCATTAGACCTGTTCATGGGTCGGGCCGGACCGGGCTTGAGTCGGGCTTTTACTCTTCATTAACAGAAATATGTTAGGCCCGAGCCCAAGCCCGGCCCGACCAACGGGCCTACAACTCGGGCCCAAGCCCGGCCCTAATAAAAAGCCCGAAGCCCGAGCCCGAGCCCGAAGCTCGACCTAATAAAAAAAATTAGAAATTTTCCCTATTCAATAATCAATATAAATCAGAATTTATTTACATTAAAAAATATATATAAATTCAAAATTTATTTATATTAAAAAATATATATAAAGAAGGGAAAGAGGATGTGGAGAAAAAGAATTTGGTTGGAAAAAGAAGGGAAAGAGGTGAAAAAAAGAGGGGTATTCAACTAGGGTTTTTAGGTTTATTTATAGGTCGGGTCGGGCCGGGCTATTTTGGCAAATCCCGAGCCCGGCTCGAATTTATTGCGGGTCGAGCTTTTTAGCCCAAGGTTAAGCCTGCAGGCCTATATACCTGTTCAAGCCTGTCCGGGGACCGGGCCGGGCCAGGCCAGCCCATTGGTCCCATAAGCTTTTTAACATGGTAGAATGTTGGTTGTTGGATTGGAAGACTTTATACCAACGAATATCTGCATGACCTAAAACCAAGGTTCATGTTACGATATGTATCATATTTTTGAGGTTTTGACACGGGGAATGGTGCTAAATCCTTAGTACCGTTCCTTTTCGTTGTGCCGAAAGCATATCATGCTCATATTGGCCAATACAGTGCGATTTTACTGTTCAAAAAAAAAAAAGAACTTTCATTCAAAAGAGGGCTTCTAAACCCATTTCAAAAGCCCTCTTTCTTCCCCAAACCCTTTAAAAATCTTCATACCATTCCTAGAGATTGAAATCTAGCTAAAATCCACCAAAACATCCACAAATTTACAAGATCCAACAAGTTTTTCAAGATTGTTAAAAAATGAGCGAAATATGTATTTTTTCAATTTTTTTAATATCTCAGCCAATGTTTTTGTGTTTTTTTTTAGTTTTGATGCTTTAGGTTTTTTTAATATCTCAGCCAATCTAAAAGAAATGAATACTTTAGGTTTTTCTTGTGATCGACCTCCAAAATTGATTATGTTGTAGATCTATGGATGAATACTTTAGGTTTTTCTTGTGATCTAAAAGAAATGAATACTTTAGGTTTTTCTTGTGATCTAAAAGAAATGAATACTTTAGGCTTTTCTTGTGATCGACCTCCAAAAATTGATTATGTTGTAGATCTATGGGTGATCTACCATATTCGTATAATTTTTTTTTTATTTTTAGAATAATATATAATGTATAGATAATTTCTTCAATTTTACTTGATCTAACCCTATAGGTTGAGTATGTTGTAGAGCTAAGACTGACATCAATATATTGAAATATCATGTGAACATTTTAATTTGTTTTTTTTTTTAGATTATAAATATTTATTAATGTCTCTAATTTTTTGCTATGGTTTTAATTCTAACAATAAATATTTATAGTAAATATATGGATGATCTATTATGTCCATAAACTCATTCATTTTTTCTATTATATATTTACTTTTTAAATTTTAGTTTGATTTTTAGAATAAAACATGCAAAATAATTATTTAAATAAAAATGAATAATTATTTAGTTCTTTAGTATGAAACATGTAAAATAAGTATTTCATCTATTATGTTCATAAATCGATTCAATTTTTCTTTAAAATATTTACTTTTTAATTTTAATTTAATTTTTGGAATAAAATGTGCAAAATAATTATTTGAATAAAAATAAATAATTATTTAGTTTTTAGAATGAAAAATTCAAAATAATTATTAATTTTAGAATAAAAATAATAGATGTCCATGAAGCCATTCAAAAAAATATTTGTTTAATTTTTAGAATAAAAATGCAAAATAATTATTTGAATAAAAATAAATATTTATTTAAAATATAGAAAAAAGTTTAATTCAATAATTACAAATTGTATATAATTATTTCATTCAATAATGGTTAATTGTTTAATTGGATTAGATAACACTTGGCAAAATGTTTAAAACAATTAAAAAGAAGTTTTAGTAATATTTAAAAATGTACAAAATAAAAGGCATTGTATGCATTTATATATTTCACATGATAATCTATAATTTGAATGTGAATTTAATTGTGGCCTAAAAATATAAAAACAATTATTATTTGTTTAATTGAATATTTTATTAGATAATAATTGAAAAAATATTTAATTATTTTTTAAATTTCATAATAACAATTGAAAAATAGTTTACTAACACATTAACACTTAAAATTGGATAATTTATATAATAATTGTATTTTTATGTGATTCATGTAAAGTTGTAAACATCATATTGGGATTCAAATGTTGAATTTGTAAACTTTAATAGATTTAAAATTTGAAGTTGGAACTTGGAAGATTGGAACTAAATAAGAACTTTATTAGATAGTATGTTTTTATTCTCGTTTGTTGATTATAATATGTTTTTTCACAATACCCATTAAAGCATGTGAATTTTATGTATAAATAGCTCATTTAAGCATTATATTTAGTGATATTGATGTTTATTTATGATTTATATTTATAGCATTTCCATAAGTTTTTAATTTTTCATCCGTATCCATGCATATCCAAGGCGTATCCTGATCAAGGATTAAAATATTGATATAATACACCAAATATGGGACGTGTCGTGTCGGTATCATACTGCACCGATACGGGATACGCTACGATCACAGGTATATCCTGCTAGTCGTGTGTATCAATCCRATACGCCACCGTATCAGTGCGTATCACATAATATAGGCTGATATGCACTGATACATAAGCATATCGACCAATGTCTCACACTAAAAAAACAAGAGGAGTGTGACTCAAACCCAAGTTGGTGAATGCCCATTGTCCAGGCACGCATGTACATTAACCACAAAGCTATTTGTTATTTCATGTTAATATGTGTAATAAAATAACTTTTAATAAACATAATGTTTACATGCAAATAAAAAACAACATACATTTATTTTCAAAAACTTCAACTATAAATTAAAAAGAACAATATTCAAAATTAATATTTTATAAATCAATGGAATAAATAATTTATAAAATTCACAAACACWTMTCAAAAATGAATTTATAAATTATTAATTAATATTTTAATTTGCATTAAATAACAATGTATTTATTATTTACAAAAATAAAAGTATTGTTTACAAAGTATTTGAAAATATAATATAAATTGAATTTATCAAATCCATTAATCTACATTTTATATAAAAAATAATTAACTTCAAAATTTTATAAAAATAAGATATTAATAATGGAATAATTATTTTAATAATTAACATTTATGAATTTTCATATGATATGCATTCTCAAATTTTTAATAGATTTGATATATTTTAAGTTAAGATTATACATTTTTATAAATTATTAATCGATATTTTATAATAACATATTCATTGTTTACAAAAATATAAACATTATTATCAACCATTTAAGAATGAATTTTTTAGTTGAATCTTTTGTTAATGTTAAAAAATAAAAATAAAAAAATGACATAATAATTCAAATATAATAGTTTCATATGCTTTATGCCTTATACTTTAATAGATAATAAAATAATATTGGCTTTTTGCGTAAATATATATATAATATTTGCTTAGGACTCTTCATTGATTCATTATTAATAAAATTGTATAATATCTACATGTCATGTTATATTAATTATTATATATTTCTTCATATGTATATATATATTAATACGAAAGGGGTGGTCTCCCCTTTCACCAAATGGCAGTAATTTAATACTGTTATCTATTTAATGGCAGTAATCCATTATCGATTATAATACTGTTATCTATTTATTTTAACCTAGTTTTAATAATTACTAATTATTACAATAATTTAATAAATATATAATTAGTGATTATAATTAATAATTACTATTATTATAATTATTGTTAGTAAATGGATATTTACTTTAATTTTACTTTAAATTAAAATTACAAATATTGTTATTAATACATACTATTAATAAATTTAGTAGCCCAGTTTTAATAATTACTAATTATTATAGT